CCTCCTCTAGAGTAGTCTTGAGTCCTGTACTCGGGTAGATAACCTTAGGGTCATCGCTGAGGACGGCTGTGAGGGCCGAGAGGAATAGTATAGAAAGCGTCACAAAATGTCCCTCTCAAGAAAAACACACCTCACATGCACAAATAGGGCCCACACAGGTTGTAAATGGGTGGTTGAGCGCTCTCACGCTTCGATTCGCATCCCTTTCCTTGATGTGAGCGTGGGACCTGTGCTTGATTCCAAAAGCACGCTGGCGCTTGAGTGTGCCTTGCGATTTCCTTCTTTTTTTAATGGTTCCATAGCTGATAGCTACTAAGAACAAATGCCTGGCGTTGTTTAATTCCATATCTAGCACGCGTGACCTGGTATTGTGATGGTAGAAGGGTATTGCTGAAACTCGTTATGGCCGTGATAGACCTGTTGTACTTACATACGTGTCTAGCTTATGTTGTGCACTCTTCCTGATGCCTACGCTGTATGCTCTTCATACTTCCAGCCAGTATACAACGACAGCCTCACGTTCTCCTCCACAACCTGCGCACAGCCCAGCCAATCTGCGCGCGTATCCAGAAGTAGCCGTAGACCGCCGCAACAACGGGCGCTGTTCCAAGCATCCTGACGAGGATCGACGGACTGTCACCTGCCTTCATTTTCAGCATACCGGTCATGAGTCCAAGTGGCGCTTCCGGTCCGAACGCGATCTGCTTGTTGTTCATGGTCCTTGCTTGGACCTTCTCGGCCCTGGGAAACATCAGCTGCTCATAGAGCAGGACTGCTTGATCCAGTGTAAGGTCATCGTTCGGATCCTGGCTCTTCTCGATGAGCTCTGCCAATTCGAGAGAATCCTTCATCGCTTTGTTGACACCCTCTCCACTGAATGGCGTCGCAAGACTTGCGGCGTCTCCGATCAGCGTGAAACCCTGCTTGTGGTCCCATTTGTAACCCACGGGCAACTCGTAAAGAGTCCAATGCTTCAATTCATCCAGATCCCCCTGCCTGAAAAGCTCAGTCATCTCCGGCGCCCAACCCGCATACCTCTCTAAAATCTTTTCGAGCGTTCCCTTCTTTCCATACTTATCCAATGTCTCCTTCGCCTCGCCCTCCGGACACGCATACCAGCTACGGACCTTAAGACTATCATTCCCCATCCTCTGCGCATTCAAAAACTTCGCATCCGATGACCCAATAATGCTCCCCCTCCCAACCATCTTATCCACATGCGGACACGTCCTCGCCGGCTCCATGATCTCCGTTTCATACCCACTCACCCCAGAATAAGCCGGCTCGATCTCATTCAACCTTCCCCTAACCTTACTCCACGCCCCATCCGCCCCAACAATCAAATCGAACGGCCCCTCCAACTGCTCCCTTCCATCAAACCTCAACTTCCCATCCTCCGTCACCTCCCTCAAATGCCGTCCCCATCTCACCCATTCCTCGGGCACACTCTCCAACAAAATTTCCTTCAGCCTCTCGCGATCAATCTCCGGACGGTCAGACGGCCCGGCCCTCTCCCCGCCTCGTCTGTGGACGAGCTCCGTTGCGTTCTTATCTACGATGATGAACTCCTGGCCGTCGTAGCGGGCGTATTTGCGGAAAGAGTCCCAGAGGTCGCATTTGCGGAGCGCGGCGAGACCAGTGTCGGCATGCAGGTCGAGGGTGCCGCCTCGATCTGGGCGGGAGGTTGGGGAGGCGTCGAGGTCGTAGAGCGTTAGGTCGACCGTGACTTCTGACACGTGGAGGAGGCGTGCGAGCGTGAGGCCTGCGGGACCGGCGCCGATGATGGCGATTTTCGGGGCGGAGGCCATGAGGTTGTGGGCGTTGTGAAAAATGGTAGCTTGAACGTTGACAGTCTTGGTTCCGGTTCAAGGCCTGAAGTGGTTGCCGCTCATTTCGCGAATAATCTTGCTCTAGAGAGTGGTTGGCGGTGCTTGTTTCAGTCGGCGTAATTCGATATAATTATGTCATAAGTAGAGTTGTGTCTTCGGGTCTGAAGTCTTGTGCTAGAGGAAGAGCGTGCTATCCATTGACCGCCAAATATCATGACGTCGCCAGGCTTACATCTCGGCACGGGTAGTCTCAGGGAGTTTCAGACCAAGTTTCTTACTCGCCACAGCTTGACTGAGGGAGACAAAATAGCCGAGATTGCCATATTGGAAGCTCTGTAGTCATACTCAGAAATATTCAGAATATCTTAGTCATATTCATATTCTAGCCATATTCATTTCTAAATATATTTATATTTTTTTTAGATTTTTTTTTAAAAGTCGTTTATATAATTAATATATATTATTTTTAAAAAAAGTAAAGAAGATATCGAGTAGTAAGTAGATAATACTATTATAAAAAGAATTAATAATTATAAATTTCTATATATACTAGCTACATTAATTAGAAGAAGAATATCTTTATCTTAAAAAATAAAAAAGTTTTTACGAATTTCTCTACTAGGCGTCTCGATTAGGCTTAGTTTCTTAGTACTACGATACTATAGAGACTTCTTCTACTATAGACCTTCTTTAATTTATTAATTATTATACTATATATATATTATTAATATATATAATTTCACTTAGAACTATTTCTTAATAAAAGTAATTAAAATTTCGAAGAAAATAATATAATACTTTATTTAAAATACGATTTATAGTAAAAAAAAAAAAAAAAATTAAAAAAAATCTATTATTATTATTATAACGTTATAACTCTCTTAACGTCTATATAAAGATTATCTCTTTTTATCTTTTCTTTCTTTTTAATTAATTTTAAATTAATTTTTAAGTCGTTATTTTTTTCTAGTTTTTAATTATATATATAATTAAATTCTAAAATAAGATATATATTACTTTTATTAATATAATAATCTTCTTAAAATATATTTTTACTTTTTAATCTATTATATTTCTATATTTTTAATTATTAGAAAATAAAAAAGTTTTTATAGAATAGTTACTATAATCGCTAAGACTTATCTAAAAAATCTTAAGAGTTTAATAGATTTTTATTTTACTATATAGCAGATAATAAGAATATTTTAAAAGTTAAAGATCTTAATCTTTATTATATCTTCGTATAGTTATAAAGTTTTTAGAAAATTATAATTTATCGTTGTAAAGTTATTCCAGAAGTTTCATTTTTCAATTTTCGAGAGGGGGGTGCTTGCGGGAACTTTTTTGTTTCCCAATGATTAAGAATATAGGGGTAAGCGTATTTTTAATATATTATTTAATTCTGACAACGAATCCTCATCGACCATTCAATTGCATGGAGGACCTTCGACTTACCAACGGAAAGTATCTTGAAGACGCCCTTCTTTCCAGCTCTCATGCACATCGCATTCACAAGTATGGCAACTTCCCAGATTTCATACCAGCTTGTTATTCCCATAAACAGATTGTTAGGACCACTCTTTATCGTCAAGTAACACCGATTGTTTGTTGAATAAATCGTTACAATATAAGAGATGTCAGATAGTGCAAGTGACATACATGCTGTGAGCGTGTAAGGAGTGACATAATCGTGTGCAATTCCTCCTGGTCCAAAGATTTCTAAGGACTGGGAGGTGTCCATTCGGTCTGCCAACCCATTGCAAGACTTTTTGATCCCAGGCCCGCCTGCGCTTCCAAAACAACGCACGTTATCACCCTAAAAGTACGGATCGTATTCGGATACAGAGACAAGGAGATTATCATCGCCTCCTGAACTTTCATTCCGCTCCATAGAATCCGCTGCAAGACCTAGGCCGATTGAATATCACGCCACTCAACAAAACTTCGTACCCGGCCTCCTTTCGACGGAATACCGCCCACGCACCTCTGAATAAGGGTAGCGGTGGCGAAGTACGCATTGATCGGCGTTACATGAGCGGAAGCCTTCCCAGGCACAAGATATGGTTCGACAACGCAAATCCCATCAGCGGGTTCGAACGTCAGAGCCAGCGTGTCTACATCGAAAAGACAAGGGCTCACAGCTCATGAATCGTCTGGGCAACCCAATATGGTGAACATCCGCCTCACGTGGCCCAAAACTTAAAAACTTTGTCTCAGGCCCAGTCACCCAAGGAACCGACGTAAGTGCTTCCTCGCACACCTGCAGATTCAGAGGCGTCCCCATCCTTCATTGCAGTTGAAGATTGGGTCCACGGACAAGTTCAGCTTTAACAAGGACTCGTTGTACCCTCGGTCGAGCACTTCACATGGGGGCAAAGAGAGAAGGGAGTCGCTGACCCCCCCATGAGTAGAGATACTATTTGACAATGCAGGCACAGATTTTGGCTTTGTTCGCAGTGGTTGTATTGGTTCGCAAAGGCGTACGAGCAGAGACAAGACGGTGGAGGTACATATCAACGCGAGGCGTAGTGGGATCATCAAAGCCAACATTTCCCAATGAAAAGCAGCAGAACAAAAATTCGGGTTTAGATTTTTCTACAGTGCAGCAGACTTCTGCTCGGCATATTTGCGCCTTGTCGCTCCGGCGCATTCGACTGATTTGCGCGTACCGGAACCGCTTGACCACTCATACAGATGCTTTTGCACCTTCTGCGAGAGCGCATCGTTGGTTATTTGAGACCTTGTCTTTTGCACGCCCGGTCTTCTTTGCTGTCGCTCTCACATTTTCTTTCAGACATGAATCTCGATTTTCAGTACACCAATTCCACCAGCTCCTCCAGGGTTTAAAGCTGAGTTCGTACTTGTCAATGACACGCCGCTAGAGCCGGCCGGAGTCTATAAGGCTATTATATTGACCATGTCCTGACTGAGTATGCAGCCATGGTCGGGCGAGGTAGGATTAAGCAACCTCACCTTGAATATAGAAACACAAGGATCTAGGCTCTTGGAGCATGTGGTCTCGAACTTCGACACCAATGATGGCGAGGGTGTCTGCGCTCGTTCTTGTATTTTGCTTACGCTTTAGCTGCACATATGCAATGATGGTGAAATTCCCCAATTAGACACGAATGCGAAGGTAGATCCTCTCATCAAGCTTCAGATCTCGTATCAATGGAGGAGGGAAAAAAGCTGACTTCGAGGCCTGGAAATGGAGAGCCCGTGTATCAAGACTGCCTTAGAGCCCTAGATGAATTTGACACTTTCGAAGACGATGAAGATGAGTCTAGCACTGCCGCTTTTCTGGGCATCGGCAAAAGGGCAAGTTACATAGCGCTGTATGGAGAAGACCCGCTTGGGCAAGAGGGAATATATCAACTTCCCGTAGTGAAAACAAATGGTATTCTACTTCTCTACTGTCAGGATTCTCCTAATTTTGAGTCTGTATACTAACCCAACAGTAAGGACCTTGCTCCATCGCTGTAGCACAAACGATATACACCAGGCATTTATTCCATTCGGAATACTGGTCGGTGTTGCAGGGAAAAGCAAATGGTGTTGTAGAACTCTGCGCCAAGACGCAAGGGATTGGAGGATGGCACGAAACGGGTACATTCCCAATACATGCCCATCTATGCACCGCTAATGTCGACTCAGAATGTCGTAGTAATGGTGAAAAGGCTCCGTTGGTTGCACACGTTTATCATAATGAGTTCAAGTTCTGAAGAATGCTCGGAATACAAATGGCATGTGCGACCGACGCCGAAGGTAGCGCTGTATGCGAGAACGCCGGGGACGAATCGGAACCACCTACCAAGAATCCAACAACCGGAGGAGGCGACTGGGATGCTGAAGGCCGGGGCGATGCGGGACAAGGCACATCCGCTGACCCTCAATCTCCCGCCAGACAACATTGCAATGAACGCTGTACTGAACCCGATGACTACGATTACGCCAATGGCTGCATCTGCCTCCATGCAAAATTGCAATTACGTTCCCCCAGCCTGTTGCCTCTCAGGCAATGGGATCGTGTTCGAAGACCCATCAGAAAAGCTTGCTATGACAGTACAATTGCCGAATACGAGTGTTTGCTGCCATGAGACGACGGAAAAGTGGAGAAATTCGAGTACTGCGAGAGATTCTGCGGTAGAGGATCCGGCGTGTCCCGTTGCGATTGTGCAGGGCGTGACCAATACTTGAATGCAAAGGCAGCTTCTTTTCAATTCCGTTGTGATTCCCAACCCGGGAGAGGGTGTCCTCATACTCTCGCTTTAGCGTCGAATTCACCGAATTTGGTACCAGCGACATGCCGGAGAACCTCGAGATCAAAGTGATGATAGGAGGCGGTGCACGTGCGCATTCACCACGTTTTGAAAAATTGAACGTTGTTGTGCATGCTTGGATCCAAGGTTTGAAGATGCCGACCGCTCAACACAAAATCTCTTGCAGCGCTCGGCCAGCTGCTGCAGGTTTGTGGGTAAGGTCAATCGCGCGCACAGAATTTGCTTCTGCTACTCTTCGTGAACAATACGCTCAGGTCCCTCGGTCATTGTTGCATATAACGATAGTATGTGCCCCGAAACAGTCTGACAGAGCGTCTTGCTACCAGAGGTGCTAGCCTCGACGAACACCAAAAAGAATCGAAATGTCATTGCTTCGATACCAAATGTCGAAATGGCCGCTCCGATCAAACCACCGCATGGGATTCAGAGGATTCTTCAAGTCGATAATCTGCAAGCAAAAGGAGATACGGGGCCGCAGATCGACAGCGCAGCCAATGTGGGTAATCGTAACGCCGCAAGGGAAGAAGGTTGAAACGAAGAATGCACTGCCTCATGTCCCATCAATCCTTCGTAACCACCTCATTCAACCACGTCGCACGAGAGCGCGTGTAGACATCTGCCTGGTATAAAATCAACCAGTGACTCCACAACCCCTCTGGTCCTTACTGCTGGCTCAGCAGCCGTGCTACTGGCCCGATGGCTCCGGCATAGCGCCCGGTCAAGGACATTACGTGAACTGCTATGCGACCCAAGACAGTGCCTGCTGCTTGAACGGAGAGGTTTGTCTGTCGAACGGTCTATGTTATGGATCAGAGATAGGTTCGGTACGCCCCATCGCACCCTCCTTCCTGCCTTGGACTGCCATTTACACTGCCCCTTCCTCGAGCCAAACACTGATTCCCGGACAAAGACGTATCGAGGCGCATGCACTGTCAAAGACTGGAGTAATACGACGGCATGTCCAAGTCAAGGATGCAACGACGGTAATAAGAACTCTTTCCGGGGTTCATCTCGGATCTTTCCTCTAACCGCCCACATCTGCTCCTCAACCCGTAGTAGCCGCTAAGTCTTTCCATGTCAGCGCAAAGAGATTCACGGTCGAATCTTTGGAATAGTCCAGCAGTGAACGGTCCATTCAACTAGTGGTGTGGCGATAAGATTAAACATACGGCCTGTCAGACAAGCATCGACACAACTTTCGTTAATGATACGAAAGGCTCTATCTTAGCATTTCCACCTGTCACACCGTCGCCATCAGCTCCCACCAAGATCTCCTCCGGCGATTCCCGTGACCACTACCTTCCCCACTGGACCCATATCGACAATGACTCCGGTCCAAGCGTCCTTCCTAGCCAACACGTCCACGGGCCCTCCTGTGCCTGCTCAAACCCAGGAGCAGTCGACCAGCCTGCCGACCGCAGTAGGCGTCGGGATCGGTGTCCCGCTCGGAACAACCGCCATCGGATTCCTCGGCTTCTGGTTCTGGAAAGAAGCGGTGCGGCAACGCAGAAGCGAGCCTCGAATACCGACACAGCGGACCGGTTTGGATAACAGCGGTCAACTTTGCCGCAGCGCCCATTGATGGATCTTTGAAGGAACTTCCCGATACGCACCTTCCGAGAGAGCTGGACGGCCGGGGGAGAATTGAACTATCCGGTATCTGAGATTGCGGAAAGGCAAATCCTCTTTCGAGTACATTTCTCCAGCTTGAACCTTGTTTGTCTCAACACTCGCCCGCCGTCACCCTAATTTATCAGCAGCGTAGCCAAGAGTCCACGACAACATCACGGCAGGACAGAGAATAAGAAACCAGTGTCGAATTAGGTTCTCGGCCTCCTCCCAGCTGTCAAAATTCAAGTACGTGATGTGCAGATCGCATCGATTATTCCATCTCAGGACTCCTCTAGGCCAATATTCACACTCTATACAGATAAGGTGGTTTCTCCAATAGGTGGCCGGGAGGAGGCTGGGAATCTTATGTTGATACCAGCGGCGTGTCGCATCAACGACTGAGTCGTATGGGGTTATAAGACCTGATCCAGGGGAATCCCGAGAGAGAACCATTCAGGCAATCTACACACCACCCAACCCTACCCTACCCGAAATCCCGACGAGTTCACACGCAAGAACCAGCGAAGCAGATCTCTTCGCACCCCCAATCCCTCAACACGTTCGCACGATCCTCACCGCTCCCCTAAGATCCCATCCCGCCCAAAAAACGCCCGCCTAGCGATCCATCCACTCGGGCACCGAATGTCAACTCCGTCCGCACACACTCCGCGGAGAAAATCTCCAGGGCCCCGGTTGTGTTATGACACTCCGTCCGTTCGACCGGGAATAACTTTCGCACCGTACCGGCAGGGTTGCACACCAGATTCACACGTCCAGGGGGTTTGAGATGGCGCGCCGGCACGCGGAGCCGGATTTCGCTATACCGGTACGGGAAGAAACTCGGGTGACTGGAGGATGGTGATGGGAGGGGAGAGTCTAAGGTAGAGATCGAAGGGGATTGTGGATATTCTTCCCTAAGCTGTTTGAAAAGAAACCCTCCCCCCCCCCGGCCCCCATCCCGGCGCGCGGATTGGACGGTCGTTCAACTGTCTCAAGAGCAGCAGCCGGACACATGTCTAAGGTATTCGAGGCATCGGCGATCTCGTGAGTGAGTGCGAGCGTATCTGACATGGGTGACGACGCGGCGAAGGTCGTCGATGCAGAGCCCCGTGGCGAGAGTCTGGTCACGACGAAAGCGACAGCGTGTCTCCTGCAGACAGACACTTTGAACATGTCCGTCAACTGCTTCGTTCCTGCAGAAAGGGCGGGTCTCGAGACACGACGGGTGTGGATGCCGCCCGTACGTATCTGGCGCCGCCGTTGACTGCAATGATCGGGCGGTCCCACCCCTTTTGGGAAAAAGGGACAACGGGATGTACTAAGCCATATCTCACTTTCGATTCTGTGTTGACTGCAGGAAGGCAAAGTGCATGACTGTGGACCATCGACGCGTTGTATGTGAAGGGAGGCATGAATCGCTGCAAGGGTAGTGTTCTTGGTTTAACCGATTGAGGATTCAGTTTGTTAGAAACAATAAGACACGCCTGTGGCAAAAGGGCGCTTGTACATTGACACACCACTATGGTCATAAGATATTGCCACGTGATCATTGCCACTTGTCCCTGCACATGACACACCTCGAACAGGTAGCCGCGGGGCGCTTCGGCCAGGCGACGGTGCATAGCGATGTCACCAATGTGGAGACCATCTGTATCCAGGCCCTGTAGATGGAATGCGTGCTATTGGCATCCAACATCGAGAACACTGTCGGCAAATCACAACGAGCTCGCGCCCGTGATCTTGGCTTTGCAGAAGAGATCCGTGTGGAATAAACGAACGTAGTCATAGCAAAGCGAATCAGGTGGCAATTTTCTCATGACTAACCCGCTCCACGACCTACCTGCCATGTTCATGCCGTGAGGTTGGCATGCAGCTGGGGGAAGCGATGCGGTGTGCGTTGGAAATGGGGTAGATACCCACGGTATCTTTTCACTTTTCCGCTAGTCGTGTTGGAGACGGAGAAGCGTTCTGTGTCTTCTGCGAGCGTATTGCTCTGTGGATTCTTTTGCTTGTTTGACCGTGAAATATGCCGCGTGTATGCTATTCGTCACGACGAGGCCATAGCGTAGGCCTCGGTGACGCTTTTGGGGTACTGTGTCTCGAGCAGTCATTGTGCGATCATGGAGTGCAAGCATGTCGGATCACTGTCGAAGTGGCTGACACGCACATTTTTGGAATTTTCAATTTCTTTGGATCTGGGGAATGCCGCTTGAGCTTTGGTGCAGGTCATGATGTGTGGACGTTTTAAGCCATCTAGCTTGGGTGTGGATTGTTACTCAAAGTCCATGGGGCCGATACATGTAGCACGCATCTGTTCACCAGCCATCCTGTGATGTCCTCGAATCCAAATACGACCAGAGTCCCAAGCCAATAAGTCCATGATAAGTCGTTTTGAATTGATATATATTCCTTTCTATAATCTCTTGAAGATCCTTCCTTTCGGCCATTTTGGAATCAATCGCTTTGGCTGTTGCGCCCTGGATGACGGAAAGAATGGTTCGAGAGTGTAACGGCTACTTGCGTTTTGAACGTCATTTACAGCGGGATTGCGCCTAAGTATCACAAAGTCCCGGGGGTGGTCACCAGGAGTATCACCAGTAATACTCCGTGACAAGCACAAGAGGCCGCCATACTTAATGAATACGATGGCCCGCCCTTGATACATTCCTATCAACTCGGAGTAACTAACGACGGCAACCCTGAACGTGCCACCCGCCCTTCTTCTGCGTGTCCATAGTTCGTCCAGAAAGAACAAATCAGACGGACGAGGCAATGAGGTAGCAGGAAAGAATTTTTTTTGGCTAACGCTTGACCCCCCACCCAGCAGAAAGCTTTACCTTCCTGACTGCCATTGTCTGGATCGTGGAATTCGAAGAGCAAGAAGAGGGACACCTCGACTCCTGGGAGCCCGACGCCAATGATAAGTTTTACTACTGAAAGACTCGGCGAAGCCGTCAAGATTGGTCTCAGCGGGTACCACGCAGTTTTTCAGAGTGAATGACAAAACTCGTGGCTCGGAAAGGAGCTTCGGGCTTCAGAACAGGCTCGATCGTATGGAGAAGATGTGGGCCTATGAGCAGTCGGCGCCAAAACTTCCACTCGTGACATGGTGGGATGATCTGCTACATGCTGATTTGAGAAATACCAGCCCCGCACTGGTCAATGCTACCTACGGAGCCAGCGCCCAGTCTTATTGGCTCGAGGGTGGCAGCATCGGCGGCCAGACTTCTAATGCGAACGTTGCATCAAGCTGCAGCACATGTCGAAGTCCGAGGGTGAGGAGGTACCCAACTTGTGTAAATTTAGGCGTGAGTTGTCATTTTGAAGATTAGCGACGGTGCTTGGAGAGTCTACAACAATAGACGAGCCGCATGAATTCTTACGCAGTTATCAATTGGCGAGGGTTTGCCTTCGTTGCTGACTGCTGACTGCGGGGGCAACATACCTAGGGAAATCAGCTGTCAGTCTGTTACCCACATTGACACAAGAAGGGGTGATTATTGAAGCGCAAGACATGCCACGTCGCCGTCGGGTATGATGTTGTCACTCGAAGCCTGCCGCATCCGAACAGCAGGCGCTCTCAATGGACCGTCGAGCGCTTCCAGAGTTGTGTGTGGGCATGACAGCAGTTCGGGGCTGCTGGTACTCGATGGTCGGTGATGGTCGGAGTTGTCATCCCAGAGATTTGGTGGGTTGGCCATCGGGATTGGAGATCAGCGGTCATGCCCACTTTGTGCTTCCACCGACCTTCTAGCGTCCTTCTAGTTTCCTTCTGGTGACCTTCTAGCGGTCTTCTTTGCGTCACATATACAGGGATCAGGCTTGATCGGCGTGGATCAGCCTTCTGATCGCGTGGGCCTTGGACCCGGGACCCCACTTTCCAGGTTGAAGGTATGATCGAAATGACGATGATTTGAGAGGAGGGGCGCCCCAGCAATTGCGATCAACCTGTCAATCGACTGCGCTTATATCTCAACCTTATTCGTGATTATTCGCTATTACTCGCTACTTACTTTACTTACTACATTATATTTCATCGCGCTATTCATCCAAGCGATCTCTCTAGTCTCTTCTCGCGAATGAGCCTATGAGATTTAAGTTGTACTTCAAACGCATGACTCAAAACTTAGGACAATAGGGGATTTCTGGGGCCAAAAGGCAGCATAAATTTAGCTGCCGAGGAGGGGTAATTTGAAAAAATGGAAAAATGGAAAAAAGCAGGATCAACATGCTGGTCTCAGCTTTTTCTTTCTTTCCTCTGCTTGCGCTCCACACAATTTGTACCGTCACTCCTTCGCTCGACTTTTGAATTTGAAATTGGTATCTGCAAACTATAATGTAGCTATTCAACTAACACCTCCCTATCTGCTCTCTTTCTCCATCACACATCATTTGCCCATTTCTCCTTATCCTTCTTGCGCTTCAATCAACACACCAAGAGAGCCATACGGTGCGGGCGAGGTGTTGACTGGACCCCGCCAAGTCGCCACCATTGATTGGCCTCGCTCACACTTCATCTTCGGCCATCTATGCTCTGGTCATATGTGTCACAATAGTAGCTAATCAAAACGGCGAGCCTGCATGTGAAGCTGGCGGCTAACGGATGGTCCGGCATCCCTTGCTTCACCCATCCTTGTTCCTTTGTATCTATAAATCCAGACCCATTACCCCAGATCTCCCATCTTCTCTTCCTCTCCCTTGCTTCACCTTCTTGCTTTCTCCCCGCACTCTCTCTAACCTCCCTCCTTCCCTTAACCCAACATCCAACCCCCCTTCCGTGTTCTATCTGACCCACTCCACTCGATATCGAGCCCCACGGGCCAGCAGCAGTAACCATGGATAACATCGCGAGCTACAATGTAGCCCGCAAGTACGAAAAGCGGGCTCTCCTCATCCTCATCAACTGCGTAGCTGGGCTCTCCATCTTCTTCTTTGGCTATGATCAAGGTGTCATGGGCGGTGTCAACGGCAACCGCAATTATGCCTCCACCATGGGCTTTGGCATGTATGATGAAAAACAAGGGCTCGTCACAATTCAGCACCCACTTCTCCAAGGAGGTATCGTAAGTAATCCCAGAACACCACCTACTCATTGGGCTTGTGTCAATTGTCTGACATGTGTGATTCCAGATCGCAGTGTACTACCTGCCCGGCACCTTATTCGGCGCCTTCCTCGGCGGGTGGTTTGGCGATCGATACGGTCGTATCAAGACCATCGCCGTAGCCGCCCTGTGGGCTGTCGTCGGCGCCACTCTTCAATGCTCCGCCCAAAACGCCAAATGGATGTTCTGCGCCCGTACCCTGAACGGTATCGGAACAGGCATCCTGAACGCCATCACCCCCGTCTGGGCCACCGAAACTGCCAGCCACACATCCCGCGGCCAATTCGTCTCTATCGAGTTCACCCTCAACATTTTCGGCGTCGTCGTCGCTTATTGGATCGAATACGGCACCTCCTTCTACGGGCAGGTCAATTCCTCCTTCATCTGGCGCTTCCCGATCGCTTTCCAAATCGTGCCCCTCATCTTCCTCTTTTTCGTTGTATGGGCTATGCCCGAATCCCCTCGCTGGCTTGTTAAAGTCGGGCGCGAGGAAGAAGCCCGATTCATACTCGGTCGTCTCCGCGGCGAAGGTGACGGTGCGGCCGAAGCTGAATTCCAAGACATCCGCAACATCGTCGAGCTGGAGCGCAAGACCTCGAGCCAGAGTAGCTACCTGGCCATGTTCTTCGGCTGGAAGTCCGGCAAGCTCCACACCGGTCGCCGCGTTCAACTCGTCATCTGGCTCCAAATCCTCCAAGAATGGATCGGCATCGCCGGTATCACAATATACGGGCCCACCATCTTCTCAATCGCCGGTGTCTCGCCACAAAACCGTCTCTGGATATCCGGTCTCAACGATATCACATACATGTTCGCCACCCTCATCTGTGTCTTCACTCTGGATCGAATCGGTCGTCGCTGGACTCTCTACTGGGGCTCAGTCGGCCAGGGTATCTGTATGTTCTGCGCTGGTGGTCTCGCCCGCGCTACGATCAACGCCAAAAACAGCGGCGGAAGCACCTCCGGCGTCGGTGGCGGCGCCATCTTCTTCGTGTTCCTGTTCACTGCGATTTTCGGAGCGACATGGTTGACCGTACCGTGGCTATACCCGGCTGAGATCTTCCCATTGGAAGTCCGAGCCCGAGGCAACGCGTGGGGTGTGGTTGGTTGGTCTATCGGCAATGGGTGGACGGTATGAAAACCCCAATGAACCTTTCTTACATTCACATGTCGTCAACAAGTGTCTAACGAACGACCAGGTGCTCCTCCTCCCCACCATTTTCGCCAAGCTGGAAGAAAAGACCCTCTACCTCTTCGGCGCCGTCAACGTCGTCACCATCGTCGTCGTCTGGGCCCTCTATCCCGAAACCAACCAACGCACCCTCGAGGAAATGGACCTCGTCTTCGCTTCCGACTCCATCTGGAACTGGGACGCCGAGCGCAACTTCAAGATCCTGAAAGAACAGAACCCTGAACTGGTGCAAGCGGCGCAGCGGGGGAATAGCGTCGTGGATCCCGAGGCGGGGTTCAAGGGGGGCCGACAGGGCAGTTTGGTGCCTAAGGATCTGAGTTTGGAGGCCAAGGAGTATGGCAATAGTAGCGAGGAGGAGAAGGTGGTGGAGGGCGTCAAGCACGACCGACTTTGAGGGGCGTTTGACGTGGTGGGGCCAGGTGGGGTTCTCCATGCAACAAATTTTGAGCGGTTATTGTGATCTTAAATAGTCGATATGGGTATTGGAGAACGGAGGCTTGATTGTGGAGGGTGAGTTTTGCTAAGTTGACGTGGTTCATATATCTTGTACAGAGACTTTTCCGAGAATCTCTAGAATACATAGAAATCTTTTCAATGACATCTTATAACAACCAACCAGTTTCTCTCCCTCTCTCTCTTTTTTTGGATATCAAACCCATAGACACATCTGACCAACCATTTACTCCATCTCATGTCACAACCAACCCGCCTCCCCCTCTTCCCCTTTCTCCATCCCCCTGTCACATTATACACCCAAACAACACACAACAACCCCACCCACCCACCTCAACGAACCAGACCCAAAATCCCCACGTATCTCCCACCATCCAGCTCTTTCATCCATCCATCCATCCATCCATCCAACTACCTACCTACCTACCTACCTACCTACCTACCTACCTACCTACCCAACCTGCCTGCCTGCCTGCCTGCCTGCCTGCCTGCCTGCCTGCCTGCCTGCCTGCCTGCCTGCCTGCCTGCCTGCCTGCCCACCTGCCTGCCTACCTACCTACCTACCTACCTACCTACCCACCCACCTACCTACCCACCCACCTATCAAACCAAAACCATCCCCCAACCATCCCCAACCCCCCTAACCCTTCCAATCCCACCTCCCCCCCCTAGCGTCCCCATAAGCATAAATCCCTCAACTCAAACTCAACTCAACTCAACTCAAACTCAACTCAACTCAACTCAACTCAACTCAACCCAACCCAACTCAACTCAAACCCAACTCAACTCAAACTCAACTCAAACCCAACTCAACTCAACTCAAACTCAACTCAACTCACTCATAAGCCGGAACAAACTCTCCCTCTCTAACATGACGGTAATGCGGCTAGGAGACGGATCAGACATGCGGACCGGGATGGACCCCTGCGCGAACTTTTGCGACAGTCGCTAGTTTGGGCTGGGGTGCAGGTGTGATGGTGGTGGGTGGTTGGATGGATGGTTGGTTGATGGGTGGCTGGTTGGTTGGTTGATGGGTGCAGGTAGGTCTAGATGGGTAAAGGTGGAAGGGTGGGTAGGTAGGTAGGTGGGTGGGTAGGTAGGTAGGTAGGTAGGTGGGTAAAGGTAGGAAGGGAGGTAGGTAAGGTGGGTAGGGTGGTGTAGGTAGGTAGGTAGGTAGGATGGTAGGTAAAGGTGAAAGGATGGGTAAAGGTGGAAGGGATGGTGTAAAGGTGGAAGGATGATGTAAAGGTGGAAGGATGGTGTAAAGGTTCAAAAGGAGGTGGGATGTATATGAATGTGATCGGTTGGTGCAGTTGATTGGGTGAGTTGAGTTGAGTTGAGTTGGGATGGGATGGGATGAAGGTGGTTAGGGTGACAACGCACATCTCCCTCATACGGGTACCCTGATTGCCTTTCTAGCGATGAATGAACGAGACGAGATGGCCATCCGCGGGCTAGAGTAGATCTGCGCGGATTAGAGTATATATTAGTATATATGTATGTATGTACATAGGCAGTACCTGTGCCACTCCCTTCCTATCTCGTACGCCAGCGCCGCGTTCGTACACGGCCGGACACCCCAACTTACATACGGTACATTACATGCAAACTTACAGACGTACATTGCATATGTACGCAGTCACCAGGATCCCCGTCTGTCCTCGACATGCCCGCTCGCTCACTTCGGGAACAGGGCGACTTCGCAACCGCCCAGCCCCGTGCACGTGAGGCTGAATTTCTCGCGCCAGGGCTCAGGGTCTCGGCTTTCGATTGTGGGGAAGTCCTGCGCGAGGCGCGCGGTGACGTAGGATGCTTCTGTGAGGGCGAATTGTTCTGCCCGGTTTGTTCAGTGGTCTGTCTGTCTGAATGACACTTCCTGATCCAAGAAAAGAAGGAAGGAAGGAAGGAAGGAAGGAATAAAGAAAGAAAGAAAGGAGCTTGGGGCACCTACGACCGATGCAAATCCTCGGCCCGCCATTAAAAGGCAGATACTCCCACCCGACCCTCAAGCCTTTCTTCTCGCCCTGATCGAGCCAGCGCTCAGGCTTGAAGGATTCCGCGTCGTCGCCGTAGAGATCCTTGCGTCTATGCATGGTGTAGAGGCTCCAGTGGACCATCTGGCCCTTCGCGACGAACACGGGAGATTTCCCATCCTCCCCGCCACCCACCGGTAACACCGTGTCGACTTCCGCTTGGCGATCGTTTTCCGGCACGACGGGATACAGTCGCAACGACTCGTTGAGTACGGCGCGGAGGTACTTCATGTCTTTCAGGTTCTCGAAAGTGGGAAGTTCGCCGTCGAGGGAGTCGACTTCGCGCCGGAGTCGGGTCCAGACGTCGGGGCGTTTGGAGAGCTCGAACCAGACGTTGGAGAGTAAGGAAGCGGTGGTGTCGCGGCCGGCGAGGAGGATGTTGAGGAGTTCGGAGCGGATTTTGATCTTGTCTGATGTTTGGGAGACGAGCTCGTGGAGGAAGACGTAGCGGGAGGTTGGATCCTTCTCTGATTCAGACCTGCGTGCGTCTCGATTCGTCATGGCGTTCTCGACAAGCTTGTCGACGAAGTCTGTTGAGGGTCAGTCAGACATGTGGATCCAGTGTTGCTTCAAAGTGGACAAGTCTGGCTTGGACGAAGTGAGCGAACGTACTATGCACGACCCCGGTCTGCTGCTTCAATTTCAGATTCGGCAGAAACAGCCCCAGAAAGCCCCAAGCCCACCCCGTACGCCCATCACGGTCTTCTTCCGTAAGGCTAGTCCCATCAAGAGCTCGCAAGCAATAACCGTACGCATCCACGAACTCCGTGACGTCGGCATCCGCAAAGCCGGGTGCTAGAGTATTGGTACTTTCTCCAAAGAGAAGATCGGTGGCAACATCCAAACTGAATTTGAAAAACAAATCCTGCAGACCGACCGTGGAGCCATCCCTCGGGATCGCTTGGATTAAATGTTCGACGTGTTTCTCAAACATCTCGACGTCGCCAATCTGCGTTCTTACGAAATTCGGCCTCAACATCTCTCTCGAGTGCTGCCACCTGTGACCGGCTCAATTAGCATTGCCTTTTGGACTAGAGGTTCCGAGTCCAAACAGATCTCAACGAGCAGGTCCGGAATAACAGCAACGATATTACCCATCTACATAACTTACGATCTAAAAACCATAGCAATCAAGGAAAGAAACCGTTAAACCAAGGGAAAAAGCACCCACTCTTTCCCATCCGTCGTAAAAATGCCCTCCCCCAAAAACGGCCTCATCAACTTCTTCCGCGCATCCGTCAAACTATAACTCCGAAAATCGCTCGCGAGGAGACACTTCAGATTCTCCGGCTCGATCGTAGCCACAACGGTGTCGGTCAAAATCCTTATCTGTGCCGTATTCCACCCCACGAGATCGAACTGGCCCTTCATCATTTCGAGCGCTCGGTGCTCTTCGACGGCTCTGTAGCTGGCCCAGAGGAAGTCGAGTCCGAGCACCGGGTCTTTGTGGCGCCATTTCCGGAGGGGCTTGCAGCCGTTGGATGCGATGAAGCGGCGGCGGGATGCGCCGGTCGTGAGGCGCTGATGGGTGTAGTAGCATGTCAAGAGGCAGGCGAAGGAAAAGAGGATTTGGGAGAGGGAGAGGGGCCAGAGTAGAGTCATCATTCAAATGAAGGTGCCGGGGAGGGGGGTGGGGCATCAGGTGGAGTGAAGCGGGCACAGATTGGGGTTTCCGAATGTAGCTTATTACATACAGAAAGAGCAACGAACAGGCAGCGAGATTCTTTTCGAAGATGATTTAGGGGGGTTTTTTAATGTGGATATACGGGCCCGTGTATATACTTTAGCGGCAGGATACGTGAGGTAACGAGAGTACCCGCGACGGCTCGAAGCTTGAGGAATAGGCAACAAGAAATGGGGACCACTGACCAACAACTCTAGTCCAAACACAAAAGGAGGGTGATAATGATCAGTGCCCTATGTATTCTCGCCATTTACGACACAGCCAACAAACGTCTGTCAATGCGTGATGAACTCAGTAAACGAGCGGACCAATGGGAGCATAAGTCGAAGGCTCGGGAGGGCTAGCGCAGTCTTCATTGACAAGGTATCTTACCTTAACCTCTCAGGATGGCTTATGGTAGCTTCGTTGATCTAAGTACAAGCTATGTCTACATCTCATACAGTATTTATCATCCAGCAGGTCTGCTACAACCCGTGAAAGCCATTTCTAGACCGCATCCGCCTTGCAAACCCCACTATACACCCTCCCCACAACTCCCACACTCCAGGATCTGCTTCCTTTGATTTCCCCCAATCGTAACTTTAAAGCTCTTCCCTCCACATCTTCTACAAGTCACACCCTTTCCCTCCTCCCTCTGCGGGCTTTCCCCACCACTTTCCTCCTCACTGCTCAGCCTGCTAACCTGGGTATCTGCCTTTGCTATCGGCACGCCCAAGTGTGAATGATGCCTCTCAACGCTGGAGCGATTACTGCTCCCGGCCGTGCTTGTATTTGGAGAGTAGCCGTTGCGGTTGTGGCGACTGGGCTCGTACTTGGGGCCGAGATGGGATGCAGTAGCAGCCTGCGCCTGGTAGACGGCCGAGTTCCAGAACATATAGCTTTGCTCTCCTCGTAGCATCAGTGGATTAGCTTCGATGGCACATTTGGAGTCCATTTTCGGGGGTTTAAGGCTGAGTTTCTCAATGTCTAGACCTAGACCTTTAGATTCGTCAGAGGAGCGATGTGGGCTGTGTTGTTGAGAGGTGCTGGGCAGAGATGGAGTTGTTACGATCGTGTTTTGACTCGGAAGGCGAGCGGGTTGGAGGGATCCTGCACCCAACGACTTGCGTGGAGAGCTACTTCTCTGTTGGCTGAGACGGGAATTGTCGAAGCTTCCATTGTTGCTTGAAATCGATTGACGCCACGAGAGGATACGTTCGGATGAGGGATGGCCCATTTGGAGAGAGTCACGCCGGGAAGTTTTGCTGTTCTTCGTGGCGACCGAACTCGTTCTCCCGAGCATCTTCTTGGATAATGCGCTGTCGTTGTTCCGCAGCCGGTTTTGTAAGGCGCAATCTTGGCGGAAGACTTTGATATGACCCATGAAGTCAGCTGTGACAAGGATGTTGCCGTCTGGATGGGCGCAGCGAGCAAGGTAAGCTGGCGATTCTTCCGGCTTAGTGGTTCTGGTGACGTCGGGTGTCGTCGAAGTGGGAAGAATGTAACTGTCAGGTTGCGGGCTGCCTTCGGTAGGAGGTATGGAGGATGCCTGCGATTGCGTGCGACTGATTAGTGTCACGGGTGGAGGGTTGCATAAGTCGTACAGAGGGTCGCCTGATGCACTGAGGAGCTGTCTTGTCTTCGTAGGCGCCATGATCGCAGTAGTGACAATAGCTGAATGGGCTTCAAAAGTCTCGAGAGGCCGCTTGTCCCTTTCGGTTTCTGGCTGTCCTGTAGACCATATATATACCTTGCGATCCTCGCTACCACATACTATGTACCGCGCGTCATCGCTGAACGAAGCATGTATTTGACTGCATGAGTTCTCGTTACCTTTCAGTTTGAGCTCGAGACCCTTGTCTCTAAGATTGTAGACGCGTACCCGAGAGTCATTGCTGGTAATTAGAAGCTTGACTTCTCCGTTTGAATCTTCAGGTGGGTAGTTGATGGCTTGTATACCGGTGACTTTGCTTCCCTTGGCATTCTTTCCATGCGCTGAGCGAACATGGATCTGTGTCTGGTATTTCAAGCCTTCTGTTTCATAGAATAGACATAATCCGTTCAGACAGCCTGCGATTGCGGTCTTGCCATCCGGAGCAAATGCGACGGCAGTGACCAGGTCCGGTGTTTGTGTCCAATACGCGACGCTCTTGTCTGGTATGCTCCACAGTCGAAGTTTCGAATCCAGTGACCCTGCGAGGAAGAATCGATCATCGCGCGGATGGAATTGTATGGATGTGACAAAGTCACTGTGCTTGAAGCAGCATAGACATTCAGCCCTGCTAACGTGCCAAAGCCGTACTGTTTTGTCCATCGAGGAAGACAGAAGAAAGTTGTTCTACTGGTTGTCAGTCTTCTCCGACTTGAACTTTCGCACGAACATACTTTGCTCCAGCTCAGGTCCAAGATGCTTGCTGTGTGACCTCCATACTCCTGTACCGTCTTGGGTTTGAATACTGGCGCATTCAGTCGGACACTGTCGCCCGCCTTCGCCGCAGATTCCTCTTCTTTCTCATGCGTCTGTCGCTCGTCTTTTGTGGACAAGACTTCCCAGACTCTGACAACGTAATCCTTCCCACCGGCTGCCAGATGTTTGCCATCTTTTGAGAACTCCATCGCCCATATCGCATTGCCATCCTTTTCCCCATGTTTATATGCCCCGTTCTTGACAAGCCTACCTCCAGACTGTGCAATCTCCACACCCGACCTTCCCCTCAACTCCTGGGCGAGGAAGAGCCTCTGAAAGTCCCTCTCTTTCTTGCCATGTGATCGCACCTTGATGTATTTTGGCGGTGATGGAAATTGAGGTATGTATCCAATCGGCTGGGAGAATATTTCCGCATCCATTCCTTCGGTTCTTTTGTCGCCCACTTCGGAATCATTATCGTTGATCTCGGATAAGACGTCTTTCTTCTTCGGAGCGAAGCGGCTAAAGAATGAGACCCGGTTTCTAATGCATGAGGCACTTTCGTCAGCATTGTGGATTTTGAGTTCAGTGCCAGTCAGCCACAGATGTGGTAATCAAAATGCCAATGCTGACAGCGGCATTCAGCATTTACCTCTTGTCTTTTGAACCAGGACCCGCGCTATCGTTGCGTACAGCGGATGGCTCTGAGGAGGTCTGAGCTGTTGCTACGGATGCGCTATTATCACTTTCGCCGTTATCTTCTTCAGCGGCGCCTGAGCGCATCTTCAGAGGCAATGAGTTCGGCATATTCGCTCTGTTGAGGATATGCTGCACCGTATCTCAGCACAATCCCCTTGCTATGCCCAGGCACTCTGAGACGTACGTGTGATAGAGGGTCAATTGCTTGCGAATCTCTCCGTTCCTCTGCCCCGGGAGACTTGCTCGCAGCATGCGCCTGATTGCCAGAAAGGGTTTGCATGAACTTGCTTGGATAGCTTTTGGTATTTGGTAACTGTCGTGCTGGAGGAGCGGCGTCAGCGGCTCCGCGAATATATTTGTTGTTGTTGGCTGCGCCATATTGCCGAATCCTGCCAACTGTGATGGTATCTCACCTTCCACGCTCTCGGGTGCGATTACGCGCCCATTGCCTGTATTATTCGTTGCATCTCTCAATGGCAGGATGGCGGGCGTCGCCACCTTGGAGCTCGCTTCTCGTGACTGCGTATCTGCTCTCACTCTGATCTGTGGCAGCACCTCCGCCATCGTCGTGTGGCTTCGGCTTTCATTGAACAAAGGCCGTACCTCTCTTATCGCGCATCCAACGGACCTCCTGGTGCAATCCGCTAGGTCAGAACGTAAAGATCGCGGTGCAGTCCCTAACGAGCGCGTCGTAAAGCGATCTCTGAGGGTTTTCGATGTCACCGCTTGGAGCTGACAGGCCAATGTTTTCCATGCATGCAGCCCTAGCCGCTTTTGTGCTTGGGTGCATACAATTCTTATGCACACTCTAGAGATATAATATTTGATAGAGGGAGGACACCAATCAAACATTTCACATCTATCATAGTGCAAGAATCAATTGGGGTCCTCGACCTATCAGCCGCTGGTCTTCTGAGCGACAGGGCCCAACGAGTAATCAAAGCGCTTGGGATCTCCCCATCTTCTCATCGTTCCCGGCAATGCAGTTATGGTGTGATGCTCGATGGTTGGGAGCGGGCCGAGGCAACTGGGAGCTCTCTTAATCGTCAAGGTTGCATCCATATGGGTTTCCTCTGGAAGTCTACGGCTTCTTCTGAGCGCTCCCTAAGAAAGGAATCGTCAAGCCAACGGGGCCCGGGCCATCAACGTGGTCAGATTTAGAGCCGAAGGTATGCATTTATTCGAATACCTTCCACTGAAAAACGGAGAAGCTTGATCAGAATAGATGTGCAAGTCGAAATACGCGAATCAAAGACACGAATGATTTATGCTGCATAGACTAGGTACTTTACTAATAATTCTTCACACGGACAGCCATGTGATCGACAATGCATGGTTAGCTGGTCTGAGGCTGTTGTACTCCGTAGTAAAACTGAGGCGCCAGGGAAAGTCGTGATGAAAGCTGACTGGTTCAAGGATCCGTCCTATGCAGCTTGCATTCTAGGCGGAGGAATGGTTTGCGCCTCCAAACTATGATCGACGTTTAGGACTGAGGACTATACAAGTAAAGGGCCGTGCGTTTGTGTTACGTGTAACGTATAGAATATCTCCGTTCGCTTCGCTTCGCTTTGACTGATGTCTTAGATGTCCTTGATGTCTTTTCAGAACTTGCATGTCGCTAGACTATCTTGTACAGAATACTAACAAGCAGAAATATGTACCCCGTGTTTTAAGCAGCGCCTCCGCAGCAGGATTGTGTAGATCCTGTCAGATCAATGTCTTGCGGAAATACATGTGATTTGCCGAGGGATCTGCACTTTTGACATGCCGAACCAAAGGAATTGTGGTCCCAGAGGAGATTACTCTATCTCCTTTGCTTATTGAAGCAGGCATTCATTTGTCTGATCCGAACACTGGTTGGGCTGCAATTCGTTCAATGCGCCATAGTATATGCACGCTCGTACTTCGTATTTGGAAGTGCATCTTTAGCCTTGAAGTCTGAGTGCAACCTAGGAGAAAATCTACAAGCCTCACGGCGGGCCCTATTTAATGTTCCATCGGTAGCGACCCTATTTGCTGGGCGTCAGCCTCTCTGCCAGGGTTCTCCGCATATTCATGAGCCAGGGTTTGATCCTCGCCAACAATTCTCCATCTTAGGCCATTCGCCTAGTGAGCGTTGAAGTTTGCCTGGCCATGTACATTAGTGTGTACCTGCCCGCATTATTCTCCGTCCCCTTTCTTCCAGCTACCTTCATGATCCTCATTGCAAGACCATGACTCCATGACGTTGACCACCATTTGGCTTTGCAATGCTTTTTGAACCGCAAAGCGGTGGGGCCGGTCATCATCAGGTCAGCAAGGCTGTTCCCATAGGACCACCTTTGCACGCCTTACATCCGGCCAGTTCCTGGCAACCTCCTCTCCGAAACATTTCCATTTCTTCACTTCAACCAACAGAGCTGGTGACGCGGAAGTTATTGAAGAGATCCCGACCACAGGAAGAAGTAGACCGTTTTGGAGAAAGTATGTCCAGGAAGAAAAGGAGATTGAGGCACGAACTCGTGACTTCCAGGCTGAGCAGACCATACGCGACGCCAGCAACACACATCGCTCGAGGGGCTTGGCGCCTTGGTGTCTGGGCAAGGCAGAGGTTATCGGGCGGTCTACTCCTTCGGAAAGGGGCAATACTGAACTCGATTGCCAAGAAGAGGAAAAAAGCGACACTAGAAAGCACAAAGAAGATAGGATTTCATGAAGCGAATAGGGCACCCATGTACGGCAATACTTGCTACATGATCTCGCCACGGGCTAATAACATTAGATCGCAATCAGATTCTTCGCACAATCCGCCATCACAAGCATCTTTGAAACCATTTTCAGTCTTTACATCGTCCGACTACGATGCTTTCGACTATGAGGAGAACGAACCCATCGAGGATGAAGAAGATGAAGAGGACAATGTTGGTGATAACCAGCCTGTGTACAGCGACTTCCGCATGCTAGGTTCCTCTGATTCGGACGAGGAATTTGGCGATGCTTCTTACTCATTTGATACGCTAGACACCAGCTATCACCTTGGGATAGATCATGGCGAAAAGGCAATCCAACTCGTCATGGAGAACGAAAGGCAGGACGAAGTGTCGGTGGCACCCGTGACAGCCCGGATCCCATCTTCTTCCTATTCAGGGCTCGTTGCAGCTGGGGTTTAAATGCACTGGAATAATGGCGTCAGGGTGGAAACATATACCTTTGTTGCTCGAAACGTGGAATCACATCTGGCTTCTGGCATGCTCGTGCTCTGCATTCATGCGCGTTGGACCGTTGATCTGGCGCCTTAGAACATATAGCCTTTTTTTTACTCTTTCAAGAAGCCAGCTTGCGGGCTCGGTCCGCGGCGATCTCACACATTGCCTAGAATACTCAGCAACAATTGACAGTCTTGGCAAGGTAGCTCGAACCTTGATCGCATCAGTTCGCTCGAGGTCGATGTTCTCTCGATCAATGCGAGCCTGCATGTCCTCCAGTATTGTTGAACGATCTCTTCCATTGACAAAAACGCTGTGACGGAATGAGATACAGGTCTCTGTGTCGTTCATCGAACTTACACGTATCTCAGCCCTGGAAACGTCCGCTCATATAGGGAATTCAACTCCGACAGCTTATCTTGACCAGTCTCAGCGTCCAGTGCCAACTGTGCCTGTTCGCCCTTGCTCTGTGTGCTGTCTATTTTTTTCTCACCCAACCTCGGATGGGCTCCCAGTATGCTTTCCAACCATTTAGAGTCGCTTGTAGAGGATGACTCGGCCAGATGTGTGAGCTGCACTCCAATGCTCGCAACCAAGTCGTCATAGGAAGAGAAGGGTTGATCCCGTAGTAAGTCAACAGAGAGGGTGTGAAGCGGCACGCTCGGCTCGAAAAGGTGGTCGAGGATCGTCGCAAGTTCGGCCGTTGGGAGGGAAGGGAGCGTTGTGATGGGTGGAAGTCTGTATGCAGCCATTACTGATGGTATTCCTCGGCTTTCTCGTTGAAAATGGTATGATAGTATTGTTCCCGTTCTCCGCAAGACAGTGGTGCTTCGTAGGATTGATTGTAGCAATAGATAGCGGTTAGTGCTAGGAGCCGCATTGATGGCGGGTATGCAGGTACTCGGTACGAGTTGCGAGCTCGTTATCTCCCTCGGCTCTTTTTGCTGTGGGAAGACAGAGAGATACCTCTATAGAGTCTGCGGAGTCTGTGGATAGAAGAATCAGTTGAGAGGGTAATGAAATACCGGTATACTTTCTTCAGCCTCAGAATGACATGAATGATATCGAGACCCGCGGACCTAGGTAAAGTAAACCTAGCTTGGGAGGAACGGTGCCCCGCAGCGTTATCCCCGTTTTGCCACAAGGCGATCTTAGTGCCGACCCCTGAAACATCGATCGTCCAGTAGCCAAGAGTATCATTAGCGACTGAGCGACGCAACTTGTGCTGAGCGACTTCCACCAGGCAGGGCAGCAAGTAGCCCAGTAGAGTCCATGAAGAGGGATAATGTCACTTAATGGCTTGGAAGCCACCGACGTCAATGATGCCCACCAGGCTGCCCTCGGTGAAGGTGGAGGATGGTTTGTTTTCCTGAAACGCCCCCAAGGAAAGAAGAGAGGTTTTTTTTCCAGAGCTAACGACTCCTTCTGTAGGTTCCTGCTCAAGTATCTTAGTCGAGATGAGGTGGGCTTGTTAGAAAAGGGAAACCGCGGTCTCGCGGAATTGGAAGATGTGGTCACTCGCTATGAGGAGCAGTCGCCCTTGTATGGCTTCATACAATATCGAAGGAGGAAGGTGATACTCAAGTACATACCGGACGGGACGTCACGACTGCTGCAAGGTAAACCCCTTCATTTTCAGTGGTCGCAATTTCTTCACCATGCTAAGAAGAAGACAGCTCGTGTAACTGTTCAATTCCAGTCGGTCATCGAGAAGCTCTCGCCTCATGATACAATATTTTCCTTTGCCCATTCAGCGGACCTGAGAGACTCCACTCTCTCCTCGGCGTGTTCACTGCATACTGCTACCGCGTCAATCAAGTCTTCGAATGATTCACTCCCACAAAGCGGCCTGGCAGAAATAACGGAGGATGCATCAGAATGTCGGGTTAATGCTGTCGAGGGTGGAGTGGTACATGGTGGTACCGCAAGCGACGAAGAGCGATCTCCAGGTGCAGAATATACCCAAACACTGCCTGAGAAAGTGAATGGATTCACTAGCGCGGATCGTATTCACCACAGATCCACGTCGGCTACAACACAGAGTTCGTTCCGCCCACGTACTACTAGTAATACAGACAAGCCGCTCCCACCACCACCTGGAGAACACACTCGCGAGGACACAGGCCCCAGCCCTATACTCGACTCCGGTGATTGCAACAAAAGGCCTAGCATGGATGGACGATTTTCTTCAAATTCGACTCGGCCAAGCACAAGAGATCTATACGACGCGTACGGATACAAAAGAAAGGCAAATAAGGGACCACGACCTTCGACTGACTCTGTTGGAGCGCCAAACAATTTAGATTCTCCATCCAATGAATTTCGACCGGTGTCATCACTACCTGCAGGCCTTCGCATGCCATCACGCAAAGCCGTCCC